GATGATGTCCTAGACCGTAGCGACGTTGTCGGAGCTGCTCGATGTTGGAGGTCTTCCAGATCAAGAGTACCGGTCTCCAGGTAGCTATTCCATGGGTGACTCCACACCAGAAGTTATAGATAGATATAAGTTACACTTTATTGAATTCTGATTGGACATTTCCACCATCATATTCAACAGCACATTGTACACTATCATGATACTCCGCCACAGCCTTCTGGACGAACGCCATCGAGAGATTCTGCCACGCGACCGTGATTCGGTGCCTGAGTTCAGCGAGGTCGTTGATTTCTCCGCTGTAGACCACCCTGTTGAGCTCCGCCCGAACCCGGTAATCGAGGGGGTTTAGTCAGGTGACACACTTGGATATTCCGTCTTCTTCAGGTACTCAACGCCCTTCGATTCCACGTGCAGGCACCCAATCCTAGAATCCTAGCGTACGAAGTTTCCAAGAAGGTACAGGCGACGACATGAAGGCAGGATATTCTCCTCGAGTTGGTCGATGTAACCGTCAGCGTTCACTTTCAGTCCGGGGTCCACGAAGAAAATATCGGTCTTCCCATTCCAGGAACTTCCGGCAACCGCGCCTTGGCGACTGCGGTGAAGATGATATCCTGGACCGTAGCGACGTTGTCGGAGCTGCTCGATGTTGGAGGTCTTCCAGATCAAGAGTGCCGGTCTCCAGGTAGCTGTCCATGGGTGACTCCATACAAGAAGTTTCGCAGCTGTTTGGAGGTGACGTGAATTCCATAGGCCTTCTCCAGTTCGGCTGCGATTACAAATGGCTTCATATTTTGGTGTACATGAAGGTGATGGACGAGAGCCTGCTCCTGCTTATCGAGGAACATCTTGGGTATCTTCCGCCCTGGTACTCGTATCCACGTCCTCTGTCTGGGCTGCGAAAACTTTGCTGATATGTGACTCGGCCGAATGTCTTTTTTTTTCCCCCTGTATACGATTTCACAGTTCAGAAGTGAGCGATTTTTCGCAACGCGCTTCAGGTGATTCTACGTTTAGCAGTGAAGTGCGTGGAAGTGCCTCGGGAAACGAACTCGATGATGAGCGAACAAAATGAGGGGAAAAAGCAACTCACCCTAATCACGTGGGATATGCTATGTTTATCTAGTTGAAAGGTGTAAGCTGGCAAACATTGTTGCAAGGGGCGCGCCCCACCCTCGCATGCGCCCACCGTGAACTTTCAGCGGCGTAACGTCGCATGGATAGCAATAGAGGCACACCTGGCAGTCATTGCGATCAAGTGAGGGCATGAAGGTTTCTCGGTGCAAAAGTAGACGTGGGGCGGGGGATTAAAGACGCCACGCCCAAATCTGCTCAGCAGCATCCTTACTGGCTTAAAGACACATAGTACGCCATCACACATTGAGGGTATTATGAGACTATCAAGGGCCTGCCCAGCTGTGATGTGTCGTGGTCCGCCCCCCCCCCGCCGAAACATGCCAGGAATGGAATTGTACAGGACCGTGAAACACGCTGCATTTCCTCCATGCTCCGCCTTACACCTTTTTGCGGCGCAGATTCCCGTCCTTCATAACATCCGTCGTAAGCGCGCGTGTCGCGTGCGGCTCCTTGGCACTTTGCCAAGTCCTTTAATTGCGCTTTCAAATACGAAGTAAAACGCAATTTCCTGATGCGGATAACACTGGAAGTGCTGCAAAGTAAGAACAGAAGATGATGACGAGGGTCAGAACTTAAAAGCAACTGTGCCACTTCTGCAACATCCCTCGGAGGCCGCGTATTTCCACGAAACATGAAAATAAAAACGGCATACTCGTTAGTTTGATACAAGCAAAACGCAATTTCCTGATGCGAATAAAATTTTAGGTGTTGCTCATGCTTCAAAATCCATGTACAAGGAGATGAAGATGACACAGGCTAGAAATGAAGGTAAATGTAAACAACACAAAAAATCAAGGAAAGGCAAAATTATTTAATGCCTGTAAATTTCCTGATCGGTGCCGGCGCGAAATCCGGCGCCAAGCCATAACATACTGCAGAATAAACGAGTGGGACGCTTGGATTGTTTTTATTCTCATGTTTTCTGGGAATGCGCGGCCTCTGATGGATTCTGCGGATGCAGCGAGTTGCTCTTGAGTTCTGGCCCTTGTCATCATCTTCTGTTCTTATTTTGTAGCACGCATCAGGAAATTGCGTTTTACTCGTATTTGAGAGCGCAATTAAAGGACTTGGCAAAGTGCCAAGGAGCCGCACGCGACACGCGCGCTTGCAACGGATGTTATGAAGGACGGGAATCTGCGCCGCAAAAGGTGTAAGGCGGAGCATGGAGGAACTAGCGTGTTTCACGGTCCCTGTATCTCCATTCCTGGGCATGTTTGGGCGGGGGGACCACGACACATCGACAGCTGGGGGGCTGATAGTCTCATACACCCTCAATGTGTTTGAGCGTACCATGTGTCTTTAAGGCAAATTCACCGCAAGGCACCCAGTCTCGTTCGCCATGCACCAAAAGAGAATGAATGAGAGTCGGTAACTGTCGCCACGATTTGTTATGTTTGTGCAATCTGGCTCGCCTTGCGCGGCATAAACTTTCAGCGTTGAGTGTGCAGTGTCGCAGTATCACGTCATACAGCAAAGATGTCCCCTGTCACTTTCCTAAGGTCGCTGCAACTGGCAGATCCTGGCCTACATTCCCAATTATGGAGTTGTGGAATCGCTTGGATCGCTTCATTGCCAGAGTCGGGAACTATGGACGACGTTGCCTTCGAGTGGTGGTAGCCATCCCACTTACACGCGTTGCGACCGCAAGTGCAAAGTACCAGTAACTGACGAAGCCGTAGTTGCAAAATCTGAGGGCATAAAATAGAACGCTCTTCGTTTCCGGCTTAGTTCGGAGGTGAGTAACGAGAGTGTCTCCTTTCTCCGACTAAGGCATTGACCAGAGCGCAGACAACTAGAGTAGGACGGCATAATTTCTCAAAGTAGATGTAGCTGTGTTGCTGCGTCCCCACTTCCGCGCCCTCCCTCCCCCACCTCCCCAACCATGTGACACCCGCTCTTCCATTCAGAAGCCAGACATCGACCGTCCAAGCAGAGTGATTGAAGGATCGTCTTAAGCGATTCAAGCCGAATGGGCAGACCAGAAGCTGTACGATATTTCACTGCCATTTCTTTGCTTTTTTTCCATGGACAAGCTTGAAAGAAAACCACACCTTGATTTCGAAGAGTCGTTGCAAAATCGTTCGGAGCATTGCGAGTCGAGTGAGTCTCACGTCGAACTGTATGCACGTACTCTTGACTTCTTGGTGGTTCTGGCTGAAATCGCGATCGATATATCGATTAGGCTGTGAACGCCGGCTCCATGAAAGTGGCATTTCTACTGTAACAAGCACTGTAACAGCGGCACTATTGAACTATTCCTACCCCAAAAACTCAAAAAAATTTTCGCTGAAACTCTTGCCTATAGATGTTATTCGATGTCCTGATCACGAATATGACATTCGTCATTCCTGGTATTGAAGCCAGTTTGAGCCAGATTATGCTTTCCCACTTCATACCCATAAGTGATGAAAGCCTGTATACTATATACGAGGGGGGAGGGGGGCGGATTCAGATGATTTGCCGCTACTGCTGCGCGATAGCGATCGGCGGCCGGCGTTTTCTTAACTTCGTGTTAACCTGTCGACTGGAGCACCGGACTTCATGTAGACCCGTCATCATAGACATTCATGACTATTTTCGGTTCTGAATTGCCTGTTGTCGCCATCGACCTGGAACCATCGTCATTTGCGGGCGCGACGTCGCACGCGACGCTCCATCAGCGCGGCGAATTACGATCCTCTTGTCACATATCCGTATACGGGGATTAATTGACCTCCTGATCATGAATACGGCATTTATTTTTGGCGTTGGCGCATTTACTGCCACTAGGCGCCAATTTGGCGCCACACCCTTTTTCCCAAAATCGGTAAAAACTTGCGTAGTAGGGTTGTTTGATGCCCTGCTCATAAATATGGCATTTATTTCTCGACATTAGGGTTCTGCTAAGGCTGAACCTAGGAGAAGGAGTGATTTCCTTCAGGCAAGGCTCAGCCTTAGCAGAGCGCAGATGATCATATTGTCCTACACTAGCGCCAGCGTCAAGAATAAATGTCATATTCGTAATCAGGATGTCAAGTAACCCCGTAGATAATTTGGTGATTTAGGGTATTTTGGCGCCGGCGCCTGTGGCGCGGGCGCCAGGCGGTTTCGGGCCAAGCGGATGTGATATTCATGTTCAGGAGGTCAAACTACCCCTAGACAAGTTTTCAGCGAATTTGGTGATTTAGGGTATTTCAG